GCCCCCCACCCCCCATACAATGTTGAAAACTAGTACGTGCAATTTCAACTGATTTTCAACATTGTGTTGGGGGGGGGAGGGGGGACAGCAGCCCGTTTATAAAGGATATAGCAGCGTTTTCTTTATACTTCAGTTCTAACACACAGACAATCAGTTACATTACATAAGTGTCCCAAGGACTTTTGTCCACGATTGTAGCTCAATAAAAACCACAGTCTATTGTCATCGTTCCCACCAATTTAGATCCTCGAGGGGCGTTACGATGTTGCTAAATATATCATAGGCCAACTTACCACGTGACTGTTTTAGAAACGATGTTTATGCCTGATCGTCGTCCATTGATGCTGTCTCAGATGTGAAACCAAACGTTATTGCCGCATTTAAATTTATCTTAATCAGTTTTACTGTTTAGTCTGTCTTAGCATTATAAGTCATTTGTTTTATTTTATTCATTGTTTCTGATCCTTTGTATTTATGTTTGTTACAGTTGTTTAGTTTCTAGAGCTCTTATCTATTTATTATTATAAAATATTGTATTTTTAGATTTATCTAGGTGAGGGTCACAAGTTTGATAGTGAATGTTCAATATTATGTGTTAACCCTCAATAAACAAAAGCTTCTTCTCCTTCTCCTTCTTCTTCTTCTTCTTCCTCTTTTTTTTTTGTTTTTCTTCTTCTTCTTCTTTTCCTTCTTCTTCTTCTTCTTCGTATTTTATTTGGTCTGAATATCTTATTCATAATTATTAGTATGCGTTAATGAAAATATACTTAACTGAAATGTCTATTACGAAATGACTATTTCGTTTTTGTATAATTGTCAGGTGTTATTTATTTATTTATTTATTTGTTTTTTGTTATTTATTTTCTGCAGAATTGGATGGCGTTTACAAACCTAAAAGTGGACAACTTTACCCTAACCGACAGCCTGGTGTTTACCAATACAAACTCACCATCTGATCAGGATAACTACGCTTTCTGTCAAGTAAGAATTAAACCAACGAAAATCCTACAGGGGCATCAAAAGGGCAACACTAATAAGTTAGAATTGACGGTTAACATGGAACTATTTCAGCTGTGGGCCCACAGAATACTTTTTATGATCTGTCATAGTTAGTTTCCGAAATCATACTTCATCCTCGGTGATCAACTGATCAAGAATACTTTTCCTCTTGTTCTAATCGAAGCCATGCATGCACTCTGATTTGGAAACCAAACATTCGAATTAGCGCTGTTAAGTACAAATACGAATTATTTACCAACCTTTATAAATACTAACAATAGTACCTTTTTTTTTTCTACCATTGCAGACAGTAAACTTCACAGAGCCATTTTATGCTCGTCCTGTTGTGTTGGTGACACCAAAGCGCAGTGACAACAACAACAATGCTAATTTGTCTGGATCACGTTGCAACGCTGTTACCGCTTGGGTTGAGGTAAGGAATACTTATTGTGATCTTTGTGTGAATTTTGGCAAACGCTCAGGTAATCAGAGAGATTATTTATCTTTTCTTCTCTACAGTAACTCAATGTACTCAATGTACCCTTCCTCATTCCCTTTATATCAGTTTCGTGAAAATTCTATTGGCAGTATGAATATGGCAACTTAATTAAACGAGGCCAAGCGTAATTTATTTTTGTGGTTTTTTACCCAGTACACATCAACAACTGATGCACAGGTGTGTGTGAAGAATTACAACAGTGACGCCAACAATAAAGATGTTATCACCGTCGACTACATGGTCACCGGAGGTAGGCGAAAATACTCCATATGCACCAAGAAAAATCACCGAATACATTTAAAACTGGTTATCGAATTTTTTGGTCAGGTTATAAAAAGAAAATGGCAGATTTTGGTCTTAAATAGGGTAAGGGTTTTGGGAAGCAACCTTCTAGGAGTACCTCCCCNAAACTGGTTATCGAATTTTTTGGTCAGGTTATAAAAAGAAAATGGCAGATTTTGGTCTTAAATAGGGTAAGGGTTTTGGGAAGCAACCTTCTAGGAGTACCTCCCCTCCCCCGGGTGTTGGTCATTGCATTGCAAACCAAATTCACACTAACAAGGCAGAAGTTGGATTAACTCTCAAGCAAATGTGTACCAGAAAATTAAATCGTTTCCTGACAAGTTTAACTTGTCTTGCCAGACTTGGATCCTTGCATCGACGTGACATGTCATTATCACTGCCTTTGTAAAGCGTTTGAACCAAATGATGCTCGCTGCGTGGCTGTTGACAGATGTCCTTCCTACCAAGAACCAGTCTGCTCATCAAATGGCACAACATACGACAATGAATGTTTGTTTCGGCAGGAAATGTGTCTTCAGCGACTGAACTTCTCTGTGCAACACCCTGGTAGTTGTGAAGGTTAGCAATTGTTTTACATTGAAATTTCTGATCATGATCATGAGCATAATAAAAATGATAACGACGATGATGACGATGACGATAACAATGACAAAGTTTGTGATGTTGATAATCATGATAATGATAACGATAATGATAATGATAATGATGACTGTTTTAACAGCACATGAAGAGGGTTTAAAACTCAGAAGATACAGGTTTAATGCAAAGAGATCCTAACCGTCGAGTTACATCTCACAACTGACTATTGACGCCTTAATTAGAACATACTTATGCATGCTATTCTTATACATCAGCATGCAGATCCTTATACAAACATTCTTATACATTCTTGCACATAAATTAGCACATTATCACAATGACAGTGAAAATGACATTAAGTAGACAAATCTGGGTAGCTAAAATTGTTTGTACTTATTAATGTTTTGTGTTTTTTGTTAAAGGATTTCCTTTCCAGAGAGGTCGCCGTCACATGCCACACATTCCTTCACTGGGATATTCTCACTGTGAAGTAATTCGCCTCAAGTCTTATGTGTTCTATCCTGACAAATCACTTGAAGTTCAGATCACTGTCAATCATATTGACACCAGTGACAAGTCGTATGTACATGATGCCGCTGTGTCGTGGATTGAAAATGTCAGTTATGATCGATTCACTGCGTGTGTGATGGTGGCTGGCTACAATGAGCGGAAATCACATGCTAACGTGACAGTTGATTGGATGGCGTACCAAGGGGCTCCAGTGGGTGGTGTTGCCGGGGAAGTACGGATATCACAGTGGTGGACTGGAACGACTTGTAAAGCTGTCAATTTTCCATCGGTAGGTACTGTTTCACATAATTTTGCGATTTCACGCAAAAAAATTTCCCAAAGAATAATTTCGAATAGCCAAAAGTTACCAAATTTAACTCGATATAATATGAAAACACTGGAACTAATAGGCCTAATATAAAATGTCGCCTCTAGCCCAGTCATTAGACCATTAACTCTCTCTAGATGTCCAAACCTTCGCTAATTACACGACAGCATTAGTAGCAACACCAACAACAATAACGACAACAACAACAACAACGGCATCTTACTTTTAAAACAAATAGCAGAAACAACAACAACGACGACGTCTTCCTATTGAAACAACGAGAACAACAACAACGACAAATTGGAAAAAAAATAACATTAATAGCAGGAACAACAATGTTAATAGAACAGCAATGTTAATAATAACACGGTTTTCAATAAGTCATAAATCGAAAACTGAAGTTATCACTCTGGCCAATCAGGAAGAGCACAGACAATGTAATGAACCACCCAAAACTTAAAGTAATAAATACACATTGCTGACGCGAAACGCAGGAAACGTGTTAAACAAATTTATGGTGGTTTTGGTTTACTTCTAATTGGATAAAAGAGCGAGTGGTGCGTTCTTTTAAGCCAATCGTTTAGCGGAATAATAAACACCCAATTACTTTTCAATACTCAAGTTAACACTGCTCTAGCAGCAGCAACAACTAAAGCAAAAACAAAAGAAGCGACAACGACAACAACGGTAGTGACAACAGCAAAAGGAGCAAAGGTAAGAAAAACAACACTAACAACTCGGACCAATGTTAAAATGGTGGTATTTGAGATTAGTGATAGCTCTGAGATGTATGGCGAGTTGTTGCTTTAGGGGTTCAGTGCACAATTTATATGTTTTGTTTGTTTTCAATGCAGGGAAAGTTTTCAGTGATACCTTCAGTGTTTGTTACCGCTGCACACTATCGCGCAGGACTAAAGCGTGACGCTGCCAGTGTGTGGATTGAAGACGTCACGCAATCCTCTTTCAAAGTTTGTTTGAGAGAGCTGCAGAACTACGCAGGATCTCACGAAGATGTTTATACTGTAAGTGATTACACCTTAGTTTTGTCACCACCCTATAGGGAATGAGGTTTCTACATCGTTTACTACAGTTAGTCAACGATTTAGGTTATTCCAAAAGGAGGACATTCAACTCTGTAGTATGTTATACCATCCACGCATCTCAGTATAAAAAGATAGAGTATGATGAAACTCGTTCAAATGTTTTTTGTTTTTTTTAATAGATACTATTATTTATATCTTAATTCTGTAGTTAACATTTATTTATTTTTTCTCCATATTTGTTTAGAAATGGTTGGCGTTTTCGTCTCTCCACAAGCCTCTCTTCTCAGAACATAATTCAGTGTATTTTGCTAACGCTCAGCATCCTCCTGCAGATTACAACAATGCCTATTGCAAGGTTCGTATCAATTTCTTCTTATCAAAGAGCGTGCTTAGAATCTTATTATTTTCTGAAAACGTCTAAGAGTTACTGAACAGATATCGACAGAAAAAATG